ACGGGCACTTCTCGGCAGTGGCTGCTGGGCAGGGGCTGGCAGCTCCTCTTCCGCAGCGAGAGATGCTGGGGTACTGGCACGGCTGGGCACCCGTTGGCCTGCGCTGAACCTGTCTGGCCATGACACTGCAGGAACTTAACCAAAACAAGCTCCGGTTTTGATACCTGCTATGGAAAGCTGGGGAACACTGACCTGCTGCCTCCCACCTGTAAGCCAGCCCTGCAAACCAAGGTTTTCTGCCTATGTTGCAAATTCTACTACGTTCCAATGCTGAAGGCCGTAGATGGGAAAGGAAGAATGGCTCGCGATGACCCACAGAGGTAGTGGAACTTGGCCAGATGTGAAAGTAGTAGGATTAAAACTACCAGCAGCCCAGGGAATGAGGAAGGACAGGGAGCAGTCGGGAAGGACCCTCCGAGGGTAGGGCGGACTTCAGCAGTACAGGGGATGCCAGCCATGGACTCAGAAATAGTCCTGTCCCAGGAGACGTACAAAACTAGAAATGTAGCCTTTAATAGGCACTCAGCTGTCACAGCTGGAACTTTTGGGGGTGGATGAAGTTGCCTGTGTGTCTGAGTCATCTCTAGTTTCTGCAGACTGGATCACATCCCAGCCTCTGCCTTTGTTTTGTGGTTTCTGGCTCTTCCTGGGATTGCTGCGATGCTGGCATCCAGTGATAAGACAGGGGAAACCTGTAACCCTCTGACTCTGTCCTGGCTTGAAAAACCAGGGAACTACGCTGTGCCCTGCCCCACCCCGAAAAGCAAGCCTCGCGTTTCCCCATCCCGCTCCGGCTCAGGCAGACGGCAGGAAAAGAAATGGCCCGAGGCACGATTTCTGGAGCCAAAAGCCTGTGTGCTGAGTCAGGGCTGTAACCAGCAGCAAACGCGGAGGGTACCTCTTGCAGGAAGCTGGAGCCTGCCACGCTGCGAGCGCTGGAGGAGCTGGGCTTGTAGGGGTTGGCGTACAGGGGGGAGAGAGGCACGGCTGGCTTCTCCAGGGAGTTGGAAGCTGTCGAGGGCTGACTTCCCATCAAGCTCCATCTGCTCAGCTAAAAGGCAGAATTGAAACCGGTATGCGACACGCTATTCCCTACTTGCAATTCATCCCCAGGAGGGAGCGGAGCGGGGAATCTCCCTGCAGTTCCAGTCCCACATGCTGCTCAGCCGTGAGGGATGGCGGGGCTGACTCCCGACTGGAGCTCTGGGCTAACAAGGGGACTTCCCTGGGCGTAAGGCAGATGCACACTCATATGGGAGGGAAACGTGGCCTCGCACATGAAACCAGTGATGGAGACATGCTGGAAAGCCCGCAGACGAAGAGGCTGTGTCCTATGAACTACCAACACTCCTACTTGCAGAGCGCTGGTGCTTGCATTGCCTCAGGAATTAGTGCCCAGCATCTCAGGGCTCCAGGAGATGTTGCTCCATTTGCCGTGTTTAACCTCATTGTTTAACCTCACCTCCCATGGGCAACTTTCGGATGGGAAGGGGTTTCACGCCTGCCCTAGAGCACCTGCCAGGACAGCTATTCCTGCCAGTAGCTCTGTAAGGAAAATGTGAACCGTGCACCAGCTCCTCCGCTGCTCGACCCTTCCCAGGCAGGGGGGCAGCCCCACTGCACCCCAGCCCCCTTACATTGCTCAGCTCCGGGTAAGGCGGGTGACGCTGTGAGCCGTGCGTGGCGTACGGCTCGTTGTACACCGAGGACAGGAGCTCGCCGTTGGGATTTTTGGGAATGAGGCCGCAGATGGTCCTCTCCGTGTCCTGGCCGGGCAGCTGGTGGCCACAAGGCCCACATTTGCCCTTGGACTTTCGGGCGCTGCCCCCTCTCCGCAGGTCCTGTGCGGGCAGCCCCGCGCTTGGCCAGTCGGCCCGTGCCAGGCACTGAAACAAGAAGACAGACCCCGGAGCTGGCTCTCCGCAGGCCAGGCACACAGGTACCCAGGTACCCCGGGTACACAGAGCCGCCTGCAGCCAACGCCATGCGCTCCCCTGCTCGGGCTGCGGCTGCGGGCATCGCCCTGCGCTCCAGCATCGGCGCGGTCCTGCGGCCTCCTCCCCGCACACATCCCCCCCGGGCGTACAAATGCTGCACAGGGGCAGAGCAAAGGCTTGTTAGCCCATCACCCCCACCCACCCACAGGCTTTTACTTTGGGATTTCCTGACCTTTGAACAGTCCCATCTGCCCCTTTGCAATCCGTACAAACAATCCCTATGCAGAGTGGAGTACTGGGATGGGACCCCCCAGCGGACTTTTCCTTTATCGGCAAAGGCAAAGCCGAGCCAGGACAAATACAGGCTGCAGGCATGGATTTACTAAGCTGCACGGCAAACACTGACCACCCGAGCTCAGCCCATCCGGGCGCCTGGACAGACCACTCTGCTCAAAGGCAGTGTCTGTCCCCACAGGCATCCCAGGCTTTGGGGGGGGGGTCACTTACATGGAAAGGCTGGGAATAGCCAGGGGAGGGGGGGTCTTCGGGCACCCCGCTCTCAGACATCAGCACGAAGGACTGTCCATCAGGGAGAGAGCCGCTCTTCTGGGAGAGGTGCGTTAAGGTGGTCGCTCTCCCTCCCGACGCCCAGGAGTTTGTGCGGCTGTCCGAAGTGAGCGACCCTCTCCCGCTGCCAGCAAACTAGATGGGGGAGAAGAGGAGCACATAGGAACAGCCCTCCACAAGCCTGCAGGCACATCCCTCCCCGCTCCCGCCTCCCGCCTGAGCATCACTGGGCCAGCCCAGCCCAGCTCTCCGTGCCCACGTCCCAGGGTCGGGCCAGGGCTGTGCCAGCGTGGCGAGCAGCCATGCCCACTGCGGTGGGTGCGCTGCCTTCTAGGGCTGGGTGGGTGCTGAGTCTGTTTTGCAGGGGTGACAGGGGCCAACGACAAGGGCTCGCAGTGGGGCGAGGGGTGCTCAGGCACCCTGACCCCATCCCGGCTGCAGTGCTGGTGGGGTGGGTGTCCCCTTCCCTGCGAGACCCTGTCGGTGTCCTTGTGCCAATGCCTCACTGCACAACACTGCCACAGTCTATGGCCAGGGGCCTGCCTTTGAAGGAATTTGATATAATATATGCCTATATCACATAATATAGGGCTTCAAAATAATTTGCAGGGATCAGCAACTTCACGCTCTGGAAGGGGCTGCCCAGGGAGGTGGTCGAGTCCCCATCCCTGGAGGTATTTAAAAGAAGGATGGATGAGGTGCTTAGGGACAGGGTTTAGTGGTGGGATGGCAGGGTTAGGTTAACGGTTGGACTCGATGATCTTAAAGGTCTTTTCCAACCTGAACGATTCTATGACAGCCTTCGAGCAGGGGACCTGAAGCAAAGTCTGTTGTGTCTCAAGAGTACTGACACATGGGCAGAGATAGGAGCAGCGCGAGTCCCGGGCGACTCCTGCGGATGGCCACGCAAACCCACAGCATCTGTTACCTGCCCGGCGTGTGGCAGCTTTGATCCCGAAAAACTCTCTGATCCAGAGAGGAAGGAGTCGGCGTTTCGAAACTGGGCTGCTTTGACACAGCCGAGCAACTTCTGGCAATCATCATAGCTGCGGCAGATCACCCGGATCGAATTGATGAGGCGGCCTGTAAAAACAAACCAGCTTCAATTGACAGTCTGTGCTGCTTCCTTCAGAAACCCACGGGAATCCCCTTGCTCCATCCCTCCCCACGCTCCCCCGGCATCTGGACACCCTGACACCGGCGCAGGGACAACAGGAACGCTCTGCCTTCGGTGCTGCCCATTTGCACCCGGCTAAATGTAGGACAGGAGCAAAGACGGGCCAGATCTACGCAAGGGGGAACCCCTGCAGTCATGCTGCGACAAGTGCGCCCCCGGGTGCGAGCGCTGCCGCTGGCCCGCAGCCTCTCCCTGCCAGCAAAGCCAGGCCCTGCGGCGCAGCCAGGGCACGGGTGGTTCGAGATTTCCAAGCAGTTCAGTTGACGGAGCGTGGGTGCCGACGTGAGCAAGCGCAGCCAGGAGGACAGCTTAGCGAGACCAGCCCGACCCCAGAGACCTCCGTGGCTGCTGCCAGCACACCCCGCCTCGGCATGCCGGACACAAACCTTCTATTAAAAAGGAGGTTTTGTTGTTCTCTTCAAAATTCACTCGGATGGCGTTGAGTGACAGCTCGCCCTGTCGGAGAGAGAAGCAGGCTTAGGAGCGCCCGGCTGAGCTCAGCTCACGGCCCGTGCCTGCGGCAGACAGGCGGAGCGGGGAGGACGACGTGGCTGCCCCTGCCCGCTCCAGGGCCGGAGCCCTGCAGGCACCTGGCTGGCTAAACTCCGCTTCTACAGGGGCTTTCCCACCCGGGAAGCCAAGAGGCTTTCGGAGCCTACTGCAAAGTTTTGCCGGCGCAGCTGGGAGCAGGAGGAGGGGAGCGCCCGGCACAGGGCTGGCAGCGAGGACAGGGCAGGGCTGGCAGGAGCCTGGCTGCTCTTGGCATGGCGTGGGGAGAAGGTGCGGCTCGGCCCCACTGGCAATCCCCTCGTTGTCCTCCACGGGGAAGAGGAGGAGGAAGGGGAAGCCCAGAGCCTAAATCCCCTAGGCTAGGTCTGCAGGAGACAAGAGGCACCCGAGCTGCTGCTGACCTAGGTGAGGACTTGGGTACCTCTATACCCTCACCCATACCCTCACAGGCACGCTGGAGAACTCTGGCTCCAGCAGATTGACTCAGCCTTGTCCCAGCAAACTCACCCTCCCCGTTCACAGCTCCCCCTCCCACCACCAGCTTTACTGCAGGAACGAAGCCTCTGAAGCCAGCATGACCGCACGAGCCTTTTCTGTAAGCTTTGCTCTTGCAAAGTCCCTCCTGAGACCTGAGCTTGGAAAAACACCCCTTCCCTTCTAGCTCTGTTTTCAACAGTTTCCCACAGTTTAATGGCTGACTTCTCCAGAAAATTTTGTAAACATGGTCCTGAACAAGGTTTCAGTGGCTGGATTGGGACTTCCAGCCTTGCAAACAGGAATCCCCACAATCCATACCCTGCAAAGCCTTACAAAGAGAGGGCTGAGCCCTGTAAATGCCAGCTGGTGAAACGTGAGCTCTCGTGCTACACAGCGCAGTTGCGAACACCACTCCGGCCATCGGACTGGGGTTTGCCCCTGGCAGGCACTGCATGCGTGTTCCTATTAGCAGGGAGCTGGGACAGAGAAGCTAAAGCAGCCTGTCCCCAGCCCTGGAAAAACTGGACCTAGAAGATACCAAGGTGCCTTTGCATGTGCATCCACCACCGTCCTCTCTGCCATAACACGGTGTCCCTTGGCCATCCCTGCGTCTGCCCCACGCGTTGGTCTGTGCCGGGCCCGGCTCTCCCGCCAGCAGGAACAGGAGATCTCCAGGGCTCTTCTGCTCCTGCAGCTGCACCCCATCCTCCACCCAGCATCGCAGCCCAGCTCTGCTGCCAGAGGTCCTTCAGGTGTCATCGCTGCCAGTTTAATGCTCTGTGATGGGCAACCTGGCAGCAGGGCCAAGGGTTTGTCAGCACCCAATTAGGATCTAGGTCTCCTCTTTCTTTGGGGCTCCCCAAGCTGAATTTTCCTTACATAAATGGAACAAGAAGAGTCCTGGGAGAGCAGATTTTGCGCTGGAACCATCGCACAGATGAGCTTATTTCTTTCCTTGCCATCTCTTTCTCTGAGCGGGGGGAAACTGAGCGACGCTCAACTTCTTTGTGCCTCAAGCCCCTGTTCACCTCACCTGGATGTCACCCTGACACGGAGCACCAGGCAGGGGCAGCTGGTGGCAACGGCCCTGGGAGCAGCTCCCGGCCAGGGTGGCAAACACAGGGGATCGCTCAGGAAGCAAAGTTCCCACCTCACGCCACTCCCTGCCGTGCCCGGCAGCGGAGGAAGCACAGAATGTAGGAGCAAAGCCCTGTCACTTAGCCCAAGGTCCTCCCAAAAGGTGCAATCGCTTAGGATTCATTTGCCTAAGTTTCTGGGCTGCAAAATAAGGTGTCTTGCACAAACCCTTCATCACTTCCTCAGCGCAAAGCTGTCCCAGCTGCACAGGCTCTGGGGAATGTGGCCGACGTGACAGCTTTGCCACAAGGGCAACGTGGAGCTCAGCCGGGCGTCCGTGGTTTGTGCTGCCCAGCTGCCCCTCTGCAATAGCCTGTGGGCACACGCAGGCTTCTCTGCTATTTCTCCTGCACCAAAAGTGATTTGTGGGCTGAGCGGCACGGGAAGGCTGACCTTGGGAGGGAAAGCTCATGCAATGCTCCGTGACTCCTTTTCCCCCTAAGAAATGGACTTTGACACTTCGGCTGGCGCACGTGCTGCAAGGCTGCGTGCGGAGGGGACCGGTGCCGCCTGCTCCTGCCGCTCCTCCGCTCGCCGCCACATTCGAGCAAGCCCTCCTGCCACCGGGGAGGACTGCACAGGGTCTCCCCCAGGCCCCCGGAGCTCCGTCCTCCCTAAGCCCACAGCCCCCAGTCCCTGGGAGGGGGTGAAACACCCACGGGCTAGAGTCCCACCTAGGGAAGTGCAGCAGCATCCCCCAAATAACACGCACATCGGCTGCAGAGAGCCCCTCCGTCCTCTCCCAGGTACGGCATGAACCTGCCCCCCCCGCAGCAGCTTCCCCCTCGCTGATTTACACCTTGCCCAGGGCCTTTTCCCATCGCTTTTTGGGTGAGCCCCATCCTGGCAGGCTCAGCCCCTGCCTTCCCCCTTCCCTGTCCCACACACAAACTTGGCAGCGGCAGCTCCTGTGGTTTGGGTGAAACTGAAGAACAAAAGGGCCAGGCTATTCCTTCACACACAAATTGTTGGGCTCAGCGTCTGCTCGCAGGGAAGGGAAGTTCATTTGCAGAAGCCCTGGGAGAAGGCTCCTGTGCCTTGACATGCCTGTGGAAAATCAGGTTCCCAGCGCGGTGTCACAGGCTGGTGAATCACCTCCCGCCCGCACCGGGCTGCCCAGAGCCCTGCCATTACCCCAGCGAGACGCCCGGGGACCAACGCTCAGGCACCGTGGGAAGGGAACATTGCACAGACAGGGCAGACAAATCTGGTTTAAGGTTTCAAAAGAGATGAGTTAATCCGAGAGCCCAGCCCAAGGCCCCCCCCATTACGTGGTGCCCCATTCCCAGGGAGCTGCAAACAACATGTTCCCGAAAACAAGCTCTGGCTGAGGTGTGTCACACAAGCCACCAGCTGCTGGAAAACACCCTCCGCTGTCGCGCTGCGGACGGAGGAGAGCTCTCCCTGACACATGTCCCTCCTCGCACCCCTTCCCGTTGCAGGCAGAGCCATCTCTTCTGGCCAGGGAGATGCTCTGTGCAGGTCTTCCCAGGGGTAGCTCTCGAATTAAAAGCAGCCTGCACAGCTCAGGGCCTGCGGTGGACATGGCGAAATCATGGGAAGAAGGGCCCCAGTGAGTTCACACCGAATTTCACAAGCCCTCGATCTCCGCAGGGTTTCCTTGCCACTGGCTCGGTGACTAAGAAGGAGGATGCTGCTCTGGAGCGGCTCAGCCCCGCTCCGCCATGTGCCCGTGGTGCTGCACCTGCGGGTTCGGAGGCAGCTCAGTGCTCTTTTGGGCACATTTGCTCTATCACGGGAAAATGGGGCCAGAAAGCACAGGGCTGCTTAATAGCCATTGCAATGCTGTCTAAGACGGACGTTGGCCATGGAGTTTAAGGCCATTCAGACCGCAGGCGATGCGGATGCGGCCCCCAGGGCCCGCAGTGCCGCTGCCCGTCTGTGCCGAGGCTCCCAGCATCGCTCCTACAAGCAAAGACAGACCGGTGGACTCGAGAAGCTCTTCTCACGTCCCCCTGGGGCACATCCTTGCCGGCCCTTCCGCTGGCGTGCCCAGACGTTGCTCAGGGCCCTTGCTCCGCCGAGGG